ATTAGAGACCCCACGAAGCTCAAATTATAACTGGAACCCTGGTGTGGCTTGTACTCCCGCGTTGCCTCAGGAATATCAGCCTGTATGGGAACAGTGCTCTAGAACTACCTGACTCAAACCTCAATACATTTACAATTACAAATGCACCAAAGTGAGGCTGGGCACGACTCTGACAGAGTCTCAAGATGTTGTGATACAAGCAGTTGCTCCCAGACTGGGAGGAAGTGGACCCCTTCTGAGGCTGTACAGCAAGCAAAATCTGCTCTCAGGCATTGAAACATCATTTAGTTTTGGACTGGGGAAAAGTTGACCCACTAATGGAATCCACGTTTGATCATGCATTGCCCATATTACAAAAAAGCATTAAATATTTTCTTATTTGCTGTAATAACACTTAAACATGATTTCTATATCTATAGGGTAGATTTACCACTTCAGGACTTTTAAACATATTGGGTTTCAATATGGTCAGAAAAGAATAAAAAATATCATTGCTGATTTTGCAATAACTATTATTAGCTTCTACCCACAGCTATCTTCTACTCAAGCTTGTACGCGCAGGCCATCAGACTCTTAAACAATACCTCCAACACTACCTCCTCCACTCCTTTGACCTTCGCTGTCTCTGTAGCACAATACACAGAGCGCCTCACCTTCACATTTGTTTCTACATAAACTACTGTTTATTTTATAGTCTGTATATATTGTTGTGTGTGTGTGTGTGTGTGTGTGTGTGTGTGTGTGTGTGTTTGTGTGTGTGTGTATATATATATATATATATATAATCTTCATAAGGGAGTTTTCGTTATGTTGACTAAGCCGGTTTTAATGTGCATATGACAATAAACGTCTTGAATCGAATATTTTTACACATTCAGCAGTATGTGTAGAAACAACAAAGAAGTAAAATCAATGTCAACAAAGAACAAGGGTTAAGGATGTGTATATGACTCAATCTGTGTGAAAGTGTGAATTTATCACAAAATCTAAAGGTGTAGATGCTTCTTTCACTCTCTAGTCAACGTGAATAATGGAATAATAGTGTCTGTGTGAAATGATCCAACAGAATAATGTATTTACCTTATTAGATATAAAACAAGACACAAATGTAGCTTACGTTGACAACATTGTTATGCTAATTAAATGAGTGCTGTAATGTGTCATTGCCTTCAATCACTGGAACACTATTATTACTGTTGTGATAAAATGCATTAAAAATATTTTTCCAACAGATCAAGACTAACTGTAATATCATGACTACACATGTCCTTTTAATGTAAAACAAAACATAGTGTTCCCGTGCTTACAACTGACAGAGACATTTTTGATCCATGTATAATATATCATGCTGTGAAGTTTCATTGCACAGACATCATAAAAACAGTACTCAACACAATCACCAGCACCGAATAAAACACTCACAGACCTCTGGGGCTTTTAGGTGAAATAAGAAACGGCAAAAGCTCCATCTCTCCTCAGCAGACAGACAGATGAACGGGTGGGAGGATGTAGACAAACTTGCTGTCATCTGACACCAAGTGCAGAATAATTTCCACTGCAAAAATGAAAAGCTTTGTATAAGACTTCGTCTGTGCACAAGTTCGATCTGACAGCACCAAAAGAAAAGAAAATCCTAAAAACACACACACAACACCACTTCTTCATGTTTGCATTTTTAAAAGTCTAGAACATGGTTTGAAAAGTAAGACATCATAATCTTACCTGAATATGTGAATCAGTCTTTGCGCTGCTCAGCCAGGTTTCATCAGATAAAGGCAGAACTTCATCTTAGGTCCACATTTAGCCTTTTCAAGAGCAACTGACCTTTTTTCTGATCATAATGGAGATTATAGTGAGACCAAGCACCATTAATTACACAAAGTTACATCAGACCCTATCATTAAAAAATTTAATTGAACACAGGCTAAAGAATACCAAAGGGACCTATTTTTAGTTTCCTCTGTGGCTATAAACAACAACAGACAGCAACATAATTGTCTCTTACCTTTCTTTAATTGCTAGAGTGTGTGTGTGTGTGTGTGTGTGTGTGTGTGTGTGTGTGTAAATGTACGGTCGTACCTGCTGTTAATTATTTGAGCATAAAAGCAATACCAATTAGTCCGAGTCACAACTTTAACATTCTTTAAAAACATTCTTTCAAAGTAAGAGTTAATTTGCAGTTGAAATCCTTAAGATTTCAGGCCTGGTTGTTTTGACGACACCTGTTGTTACTGGTGGTAGGCCTAACAGCAAGTGTGATATACTACTACAGGTACCAGAATTCCCTGCAGAACAATTGTTGCTTCAATGAAGACGTCAGGCAGTATAACTGGCCTTTTTCCATCATTCTGTGACACAATGAAAGGAGTTGGATACCTCAGTGTTAAGATTTCAGTCCTAGTTGTTTTGGCGACACCTGTGGTTACTGGTGACAGCTAACAGTAATTTAATGATACTGCCCAATATCACAAATCAGAAATTTGCCTCAAGAGGCTATTCAGTCTGTAAAGCATACAACACACCTCTATCCTCAGACCTTGGTGTTTGGTAGGGTGTGGTAGAGGTTGCTGAGGGGAGCAGACATAGCAGGCAGTCATGGTGGTGGGCCGATAGAGTGGCTATCCTGCTGTCGGCCATTCAAAATACAGAACTTTGACATTGCAGCCGCTGCAGTGACTGCTCACTGTCTGAAAGCATCTCAAAGAGGCATCTCGTCTAAATGACAGTTTGCTGGCTGTTTTCCTTGGCCTTAAAGGACTCATCCTTGTGTCTCTTGACTTAATATAAGATTTGTGTTCACCTCTGCCCACCAAACTCATGCATGACTGGACATGATGTATAATGATAGGTTGATCAAGGTGCGTTAGACCTATGGTTCAAATCAGTGCTTGATGTGGAAGTGTCCCCCCCGTACTATCCTCAGTCAGGAGGAGAAATTATTATAAATTACTGTTTTATACAAAGTATGTATTATATCATGTTAGTTTAATATTAATATATTTACAGGTCCCACATTATTTGGATAGTCTGCCTACAGATATTTAAACAGTTTATTAGTTGAGATTCAATAATTTAACAGTTTAACAAATATAGCTGTGTTCTGATATTACACCACTGTGGTTAAGGTGTGTACATGTGTACATGTATGCATGTATGTGTATGTGTACCTGTATATCATATCCACCTTCAACATGTACATAATGAGAATAATAGTTTACTCTTGCATCCTTTGCACTCTGATTACTGCACTATTTGTCAATATGTCTATATTGTTTTGTTCATAGTGTGTATATTAGTGTTGTCTATTCTGTAGTTTGTGTCTTATTTTATTTCATTATTATTATATTATTTTATTATTGTATAAGTAAGCTCATCGTGAGCAATGTACAATCCTGAGTCAAATTCCTCATGTGTGTAAACATACCTGGCAATAAAACTGATTCTGATTCTGATTGCCGAGATATATGTGGCATATCAAGATGCTGATCAGACAGCATGGGGACTGGGGGGATCCGGAAACCAGTCAGTATCTGGTGTGACCACCATTTGCCTCACGCAGTGCAACACATCTCCTTCGCATACAGTAGATCAGGTTGTTGACTGCGGCCTGTGGAGTGTTGGTCCACTCCTCTTCAATGGCTGTGCGAAGTTGCCATCAGGTCAAGACCCCGATGAGGACGACGAGCATGCAGATGAGCTTCTCTGAGACGGTTCCTGACAGTTTGTGCAGAAATTCTTATGATATAAATCTTATTTATTTATTGTTATGCAAACTGATTGTTGGAGCAGCTGTCTGGGTGGCTGGTCTCAGACCATCTTGGAAGTGAAGATTTTCCAAGTGTCTGAAAGCCGGCTGTTGTTGTTGTTCCAATTTATAAGAGTGGAGATCCCTTTTCTACCTGTAATTACAGGCCTATCAGCATCTTACCTACAGTGTCCAAGGTTGCAGAGAAACTGGTGGCGGAGCAAATTATGGGCAGGGCTGGTGTGGTTACACGTGGTCTGCTTGTGAGGCCGGTTGCATGTACTGCCAAATTCTCTGAAGCGCCTTTGGAGACGGCTTATGGTAGAGAAATGAACATTCAATTCACGGGCAACAGCTCTGGTGGACAGTCCTGCAGTCAGCATGCCAACTACACGCTCCCATAAAAATCTGTGACATCTGTAGCATTGTGCTGTGTGACGGAACTGCACATTTTAGAGTGGCCTTTTATTATGGCCAGCCTAAGGCCTTTTAATGTGGATTATCTTGGCAAAGGAGAAGTGCTCACTAACACAGATGTTGACAGATTTGTGAACAATATTTGAGAGAAATAGGCCTTTTGTGTCTTAGATCTTTGAGTTCAGCTCATGATGAATGGAGCAAATACAAAAGTGTTGCGCTTATAATTTTGTTCAGTGTAGCATACCAATTGTAGGCTACAATATAAATTCCAGTTGGACGTCACTTTGTGTTGTGAAGTGGTGGGGACATAAGGGCTCAGATTAGGGGTGTGACGAAAAACTTGGGTCACAAGAAGAAGATCAGAAGATATTGAAACAGTATTCTTATTAAATCTTTAATGCTGAAATATATGGGGGGGGGTCCTCCCCCAGAAGACTTTGAGTATCAAGCACTTAATTTTTGAAATGTCTTTATTAATATGAAGATCACTTGAAATCCCAGCCACCCAGACCCCCAAGTGTTTATCAGCTGTCACTCCAATCGGGACCTTCAGCTCGCCATGGAGAAACTGGACCAATCTCATACAGGGGACCATATATCATATTTGACAAAGATATCAAAAACACTAAAAAGGGTTAGACACACGAGGACTGTTGAACATACACCAATCCATCCAATTCATCTTTCCAAATGATTTAATATTAAAATTGAAATGTTTTTGGGTTTTTTTATACATTGGAGGGAAGATCCCACTTTACATAATATTACTGATTCTAACTAATTAGTACATAAATGCTACCACGTTGGGGGATAACAACCCTTTCAGATTTAGAAATTACAATATCAGCTTAACTTTTCTAAGATTGAATATATTTGACAAACATTTGCGTATTTCTTGGGACTGCAGGCCGTAGATAAGAGGGTTGAGGCTGCCGGGAACAATGTGAAAGAGAATGCCAGAAATCTTTCTGTACTCTGCGTCCCCAGAGAAGCGATGGAGGACAATGTGGATCAATCCACTGACTAGCATTATCAGATACAGGCACAGATGAGTGCTGCAGGTCTTCAAGGCTTTACTATTCACAGACTTACTCTTACTGGTCAGACAGGCCATTGTAATTTTTGAATAGGTGAGGATTATACTGCCGATAGAGGATGAGAGCAGGACCACAGTGAAAGTGAGGCCATAGATGTTATTGATAATTGAATCCTCACAGGAGAGTTTAAAGAGCGAGGCATTGTCACAGAAAGGGTTAGTGATCAGAGTCCTGCATCGGTTCAGCCGTATGGTCAGACCGAGAAGAATCCCGACCAAAAAAAAGGCCACTCCCCAGGCAGAAACTGTCAGCTTGATCACCATTTTGTTGGTCATTAAGTCAGCATAGCGCAGGGGATAGCAGATGGCCACATATCTGTCAAAGGCCATAATCATGAGCAGAGTGTGGGAGTTGGTGCCGAACATGTGTGCAGTGAAAGCTTGGACCACACACTCATAGTAATGAATGAGGCGCTCAGAGGGAGGAACGCAGATGTCTGCAAGCATCCGTGGAACCTGGAGAGAGTTGCCCATAACATCATTTATCGACAGGTTACAGAAGAGGAGATACATCGGCTGGTGAAGGCTTCTCCATATCAAGACCATAATGCCAATGTTGGTAACTAAGATGAACACATAGGCCAAGAGCAAGAAAAAGAAGACAGGGTACTTGTTGGTCTCTGTGATCCTCATCCCCTCGAGCTGGAGAGTGAGACTGTTGTACGTATAGTTTTCCATCTGAGCTATAGTATGGAGAAATTAAACGAGAGAGGGGAAGGGAAAACATGATGAATGACACAGATACTGCAGTAAAACAGAAACTCTTACCATTTTAAATTCTACATTCAAAGATAAAGACACTGCAATCTAGAACAAACTCCTGAATAATATGAAGATGCTTTTTAACTATTTATTCCAAGTGGAAATACCAACTCCACAAAGAAAAAATAACAATAACATTTGAACTATTAATACATCGACAGAAGTAATGCAGTAGGGAAAACTCAACACTATCAACACCACAAGTTTCATAGTACTTGAGCTCTGTATTGTTACAGAAATTATATATTTTCTACCATTGCAACCTTTATATTGAACTGCACTAGGATCCATCTGTTCATCAGTACATCAGTGACAAAGCGGTAAATAGCGTAAATATCTATATATTTACATGTACCTGCGGCAGATCTATTGAGATCACCTGTAACTGAAAGTGCACTGATATATTCATTACAGTGTATTTTAATCTACATGTATCTAACAGATTTTTTCAAGATAAATCCAATAACCCCCAGACACAACAGAGGATCATATGTCTGTATGTCAAATGTCATATGATCATATCATTTGCATCTGCCAAGATTTAGAACTCAATTCTCTTTCAGAGAGGGGATCTCCCATCGTGTGATTTTAATTTAGTTTAACACCCAAAGCATTTCAAATGTGTGCTGTTAAAAGAAGAAGCTCTCAAACATTATGGTCAATTACATGTAGATGTAAATACAAAAAGGCAAATACAAAGTTACGTGTCCTGAGCTGTACTGAGTGACGTGAAGAAACCAGTCAACAATATTACCCTTTCTCTCAAGCACTCCTCCCAACAATCTACGTGAGTCTGTTTTATGTGCGTTATTTTCCCTGGGAACACCATGATCATGACTTCAGAAAGCATTACGTAATGTTCATGGGATTAATGAACACTGCCAACAAGCTTGTTAGGTGACAAGTCATAAACACATTGTGTTTTGTACTCTTATAATCTAGATCAGTAGTTGGTAAAAGGCAGTAAAAGGCCCGCCAGCAATAATATCTAGCCCGCAGCCGGATTGCTTTGATAGCAGAAAAATAAAATATAAATAAATTGATAACAGCTGGCGCTGAAATAGATCTGTCATGACAGCTACAGTTAATCACACAATCACTTATTCTGAAGTTATTGTGCCTTTTTTGCAGCAATGCTTTATGTCGAGTTTATTGAGAGCTTTTACTTTGAAAAGTTCTGAAGGACATTCAAAAGAGTCTCTGGCCTGCTGGACATGTATGGAAGATTTAATTGGACTTTAATATTTGTAACCCACAGAAGACAATCTACAAATGTGTACAATGATGCGCAAATATTTCACTATCTGCAAATGTGTATTTTTACATTTGTGATGTGTAAAATCATATCTACAAAAATACAGGGTGATTTGCAAATACGTACAATTAAATCTGTACAAAGATCTTTTTATTTCACATACAAAGTGTGATTTACGCATTTGTGGATCCATTTCTGCACACAAAACTGCAGGTCTGCAGGTCACGTGACATTTCTTTTTACACATTTGTGGAATTTTGTCCACTCTGTCCCGCTGAGATCTGTAAATTTGAGAGTAATTTACTAGCGACACCAGCAGGTGGCAACAGCGGCATCCTCTCCCATGAACTGAAAGGATATCCACGGCACCAGAGCCCTCTGCATGGCACTAGCTAGCGTAATCCTCATCGGTAGAGACAACAAGGAAAAGGATTGTAGCCTTGTTTCAACCAGCAGCGGGAAAATAAAATGGAGAAACTTCTTTTAACCCAACGCTCATGATTCAGGATCGGGTTCATTCTTGTCCAAGTCTGCTGTGCAGTTTGCTAACTTTGTGTCTCGTGTGGTGAGTTAGCTGTGTAACGTTACCCTAAGTTACACGTAACAAGCTCATATGAGATCATTTAGTTCACCTGGAGAGATTTTGATTTTCACAATAATTGGTTATCCCCTCTACAACTGGAGTTAGCATGCCAATCTCTTATATAGCCTCTATTTACCGCAGTCCGGTGATCAGTTAACATTTAGGTATATAGTGATAAAATCAGTAGGCTAGGCTAGTTTGACCAATAGTATGAAGCTGCAGTACCGGAGGCTGCAGTTTCAGGACCCCCACAATCCTGGGCCCGAAGTTCTAGGACCCTAGTTCTTCTGCGACAATGCCATCTAGTGGAGTGGTGGTGGTAATACACAGCAACACGAAGGAGGTTAACCCTGTCTGCTAGCATGTTGGCCGTGAGGCCGATGTGCGCAGCTGTAGGGTTAACCGGTTGACATTGAAATAACTCGGTGGTGGTTGCGGTAAGGATTATTGGCTTCGGGAGGCTGTAAAGAGTAACATAGCTAGCTAGCTAACTATCTAGCAGGTCAGCTAGCTGGCAGTATCAAAGTAAACAAGGGTCCTGGAATTGCTGTTCCAGTCCTAGGATTGCGGTCCTGAAACTGCAGCCTGCGGTACTGCAGCTACATGCTACTCAGTTTGACAGATCAGTGCAGAATGATCATTATCTTAGTGACAGTAAACCATGACGTCACCAGTGTTGGGCAGTAACACGTTACTGTAATATTACTTTTCCCAGTAACAAGTAGTGTAACTAATTACTTTTCTAAAATAGTAATATTATTACAGTTACTAAGGTAATTTACGCTGCGTTACTGTTATTGAACACACCATCCTTGACGTGAATACACAACTGTGCGGCAGCTCAGCGGGACCGGAGTTTGTTGTTCATGTCCGCTGATAGCCAAAATCTAAATGTAGAAAGGAGAATGAGGGAGAGAGGCGTTCTTTCCACAACTGTAAGTAGCTACTGCCATTATTGTGTCACAGCCTAAGATGCAAAGAACATAGTCGTCTAGTGTAAACTCTGTGCGAGCAGCAAAAAGTGAAGGGCGGCAATGAAAACAGTGTTTCTCCCAATTAGCCTACAATTTGGATAGGACCGCTATATAGTGATTTAATAAATTTTTTTTACCAGGTGTGGGCTATTTAAAATAATTTTTGTTTGAGGAGCTTATAGTAGTATAGTAGTATAGTCGCTCCCTCTCTCTCTATCTCGTGAAAACCCCTGCACAAACCTGTACAAAGTTACAATACCCCCCCATCTCACTGTCATTCTGTAATATAGTAACCTAACTAGTAACGTAACTAGTTACTTTCATCACCCAGTAATAAGTAAAGTAATAATATTATTTTTATGTAGTAATAAGTAACTAGTAATATATTACAATTTCAGAGTAACTTGCCCAACAGTGGATGTCACTGCGCTGTGTTTCTGTTGTATGATTACGGGATTGGTGTGAAGAGGATTTCCTACAATAAATCACTGAGCCTTTCTGTTTCCCCATTTTGCTACTGGACTGCCAGCCTTCAGCACAGCTACTTCTGCTGACCCACTGGTCTCTACTACATCTAAACCTTTCAGAGGTTTCAGAGTTGTTAAAGAAAGCTTTGTAAAAGTATATGAAAAGCAGAAATGTTCTGTATTCTATAAATCCCACTTAGGAATACTGCATTTCAATAAAGTTATAGCATATTTTGGTGCGAAATGATAATATACTTCAATCTAAAATTATTAAAGCGTTCTATATTTATTGAGATTGTCCTTTTTTGACACAAAAAAAGGTGAAATTAAATCAGTAAAACCAGTTTCTCTTTCTCCTCACTTTATTGTCCAAAACAATGGGAGATGAAACTTTGTGCAGGATATTGACATACTAACAGGACAAAGCATGCAGTACAAAGTATATTTATTCTGTTTCCTAAGTTGCATGGCAATCAGCCTTATTTGTGGTTTACCTAAATCTTTAGTTGTTTACAGCTGTGTCCCAGGCTTACTCATCTGATGGGAGATTTGCTTTTAGATGTTTTATGACAAACATATGAAACCCATGACCAAAACAGTCAAACATTCTGTCATTGTATTACTTATGGATGGAATTGTAGTGAAGCAAATGGCTATACAAAAGTGGCTGAGGCAGATGGCACCAAATTTTGTTTGCCTGCCAAGAATGGCATTCCCCTACAAATACTGCTTTTAAACGCTATAATATTCTTTGTGGTTAATCAATGGTGATAACTAGCATTCCTTGAGATTCAGTAAAAATATGTGGTGATAACCGTGTTTGATCAGTGATTTAAAAGGACCTTAAGAGGTGGATGCAGAACGGATGATGTAGGCTACCTACCAAGATTTGCATCCACGTCTTTTTTCAGCATAAGTGAGTGTTACCTCCAAGCATGCAGAATTCGGCATAACACCGCCCACACTAAGCCATGGTTCTACTCGAGGTTTCTGCCTCTTGAAAGGGAGTTTTTCTTTGTTTCTGTTGCTTAGTGCTTGCTCATGGTGGGAATTGTTTGGTCTTTGTAAATAATATTCTGTTCAATTTTATTTATATAGCGCCAAATCACAACAACAGTTATCTCATAAAGCTTTTCATAAAAGAGCAGGTCTAGACCGCACTCTGTAATGTTATTTACAGGGGCAGCAGGTGATTCGCAACCACAGATCCAGACTCCACAGCTCCAGAGCCAGAAACACCTGCAGGAAGTGACAGGAGAGAGGAGAAGTGTACTGTCTAGACCTGCTCTATATGAAAAATGCAATGAGATAACTTTTGATGTGAATCAGTGCTATATAATAAAAATTGAATTTGTAGGGCTAGTCTGATAAAGTGAACATTGCCCCTTATGTTCACTGTTAAGACTGAGAGGTCCCCCAGTAATATACCAACCCAATAGTCTTGGGTTGGTTGTGAACACCACCCCCATGATTATTTTCCAAGATCGCTCTCCACTATTGCTCTAGACATCTACATGTCCTGAACAACTCCCTGTTTCAGTCTTATATCTAGGACAATATTCTAAGTAGCTACTAATCTTATCGAACAGATGAGGTGTCATGTAAACTCGCTCATGAGCCTCACAAAAAATACAGTT